ATATCCCTTTGCTGCAAGCCATTTGTGTTGTGTATGGGGTTTGACGAGCCGCTGAAGGTAATTTTAATAAAAATCAAAATTTTTTTATTTTATGGCCGCCATGTTGAAGTTTATTCAAACCGCTTGCGTTGTGTATGGAAAGTTTAAAGAATTTGCCCGCACCACTGGTATACTCTAGCCACTACCGGCACCCCAGGCATACGCTCACGGCACCCACTTTGGGAAAGCTTGAACTAGAGAATTACATATTCAGCCTTACCATGAGTTCCATTTTTCCCGAACCGGTTCACTTTCACATGACCAGAATGAGTAACATTGATGACAGCGCAACTAGCAACATATGAGTTTCAACCAGTTTTGTTCAGAGATAGTTCTAAAATTTGTAGGGTGGAACTAGCGATTTGCCAGACTGTCTCTAAATTTTGCTGCAGGGACTGGACAGTTGAAAGCACTGCTTGGGTATTGAGCTAGAACTAGTACTGTCGGCAAAAGGTCTACTTCTGAGCTAGTCAGATTTTCTACAAGGTATGTATGCATTTACGTATGTATGTACAGATGTACAAATATGGTCAAACGAGTGTACAAATCCACGTATGTATTATTTTTTTTCTACGGTTAATAAAACCCTAAGACTATGAGGGCTATAAACGCCCGCGACGGGTGTCATTGAATGCGGTATGTTTGCACATTTGCCACTTACTTCCCCCAATGATAGCTTGTTCCAATAATGTTTGTCTAGACCTGTCGAACAAATGAACCGAATAATACATCAAACGCCCTTAACTGGGGGTGACAAATCCAAAACAGTTGATTACTCTTTGCCATTCAACACTTTCAACATCACAACACCACACTCTTGTATGGATGTGCACATAAACATACATCTATTCTCGCAAATAATAAGTACATGGTTATGCATGGGCTTTTGTTTGCTGAAGTGTAATCAAAATTCGACGTTCTTTTTCTCCTTGTTTTGTCAGGAATTATAAATCAGGTTTGCAAGGCTGTACGAAGCACAGGCAAGTAATTCATCGCAGCGATAAGAATAAAATTGCAATTCGTAGTGAATAAATATTAAGATAATTTTCTTTGAAAATACGTACTTGCATGCATCATATGCTACGGTGGTTCCCGGCTATTAGCTTATATGAATTCCGCCCTTAAAATAATGCGTTTTTAGGTACGAAAGGGAAATATTTTTAGTAAATGCCCCCGGTTATACGCAAAGCCTAACTTTAATCATTGAAAACCCGCTATTTTGTGATAAAATTTCAACGCTGAACATTTTCGGCTATTTAAAAATTTAAATTGCATTATGAGAAAGTCAAATTTCGTGGATTTTCGCAACAATATTTTCGATTTTCTGAAAAAGGCGTTGTAATCCAAAAAAAAGTTCGGAGGCGCCCGCTGGCGGCCCTCAAAAGAAAAAATTAAGGCCAGAAATGGATTCCTCGACCCCAAAAACCCCCAGATACACATTTGGCTAGTTTTCAATACAGCTGTTTCAACAGGTGAGCCAATTTTTGAAAAAAAACTAGAAAGAAAAAATCGCTGGCTCGAAATTCATTTTAGACCTATGGCTTCTTGGGAAAAAATGCTTGAAATTACCCAAATAATCATAATCGCGATGTGCCTCTGTTAATTTTTTTGGGCCCCTAGAAATCGACCCGCCCTAGCAATTACGTTTGCAAAGAAAACTAAAAAAATCAAAGCCATTTTGCACTGAAATAAAAACATTAAATCGTGTGTAAGAGAATTTACAATTTTGTCGATTTCTATACACTAGCAAATGCCCGCTTGCTACGCGGCGTCCGATAAGAACATTTGCTTTGGCAAATACAAAAATTGCGTTGTAAAGCAAAAAAAGGTTTTTAACCGACTTCCAAAAAAGGAGGAGGTTATCAGTTCGTCGGAATATTTTTATTTTTTTTTTATTTTTTTTTATGTATGTTACCGCATAACTTTGGACCACGTCAACCGATAATTCTTTTTGCATCGGAAAGGTAGTGTCTCAGAGGTGGTCCCATACTAATCTGGTTGAGATCCGATCAGTGGATCATGAGATATATATATATATATTTTTTTTTTATATGGGAGTTGAAGTCGGTTTTTTTTGCTAAAAATTACTTGTTAAAGTAAGCATTCTTAAATAGTTTAGCTTGAAATGACTGAAAATCATAACGCTCATCACACAAGGCCAAGAATAATAAAGCTGTGAACCCATATCGATGGCTGCGTGGGAGATCGACCTATCTCGGCAGCCAGTTCGAAAACGCCTGATCTCAGAAAACTTTTCAAGAACGCCCTACTTCAGAATTTGATTGAAAAACGCCCTATCTCAGAATTTGGTTGAAGAATGCCTCACCTCAGCTGCCGATTCAAAAACGCCCTATCTCAGCTTATTTTCAATGTATGTTCGTTCGAGATAGGGCGTTATAGACGATCATTACCAAATACTAAAATTTTAGTCAGGCTACAGTCGCATTACAGGATTGTTCTTTTTTGACTTGATCTAATATATGTATGTACATTAGAGTGGCCTTTTTTGTCGATTTTCAAAAACCGAAAGTTTTCCCACGAAAAAACATGAGGTTGGCAAGGAAAATAAATATGAAATATTTTTTTTCCGAATCCGGAAATTTCCGAGTGGTTCCGGGTTGATCATTTTTATTTTTTAATAGGAAATATGTTGAAATTGAAATTATTATTTTAAATTTTCAGCTTTTACGACCATGCTCAAAGTGCTCAAAAAGTGTGACACAGATTGAAAACCCATGGTGCACGATATTATTTAAGCTGAGAAAAATATGAAGTCATCATTTATATCAATATATCATTTAATATCTAATAAAAATAATATATAATATCATTTTTAATAAAGCATAATGTAGAATTTTTCTAATATATACTTAAAAAAAATTCTAAATAAAAGAAATTGGTGTGGTTTTGACATTTTTGGTCGAAAAAGCTCAACCCGGAACCTCCAGGAATCACCTGAAGGCTTTTAAACTAATTACGTATTTATTTATATCCCCAAACTCACATTATTCTGTGCGAAAAGTTTTGGATTCATGCATTTCAAATTGTTCATACAACAAAAAGGTCACTCTAATGTACATACATTAGACTGCATCACCAAAAAAAGTTGCGGTCTTTCCACCGGGATTACAAAATTTATTATATACTAGCCAATGCCCGCTTACTTCGCGGCGCCAAATAAGAGCTTTTGCGTTGGCCAATGCAAAAGAGCGTTTAAAAACAAAATTAGTCTATAAAGCCAAAATTTTTGATTTAAGTTGAAACCACTAAGGCACACATAGGCCAATAATAGTAACGCCATACCATATGGAATACCAATCCCTTTCGGTGTCATGAGCTTTACCGTTGGTCTATGATCTTGCAACTTCAACATTGGTGTGATGCGTATGCCAATAAAAATTCTTATAGGGAAACTCAAGAGCACATAAGTGCGTTTTCTGTTATAGGAGGGCCAAGAATCCTCGCTGTCCCACAGGATGAAAAGTTTTCCGTTTCCATTGCTAAATGAGTCGTGTGATCTCTTAAGTATCTTTCAAATGAAGCAATTGATATACCTACGGTGATCTTTCCTTTTTAATTGACCACTTTTACAATTCATTGTAAAATTTATGAACTGATTTCTGGGTAGATGCAGGACCGCATGATCGTGCATGAGGGCGTCAGAAAAACTTAACCCCATCCTTCATTTAGACATCTGAAAACTAAATTCGTATAACTTAAACATAGGTCCAAAACAGATCAACCACAAGAGGTTTCTATACATTTCGGCTGCAGCGCCATCCATTGGGTTCATTTTCTGCAAAGCCATTGCTTACCATAAAATGGATACGTGTTATGAATTTCAACCTTAACTCCAGCGGCACTAATCGAGTAAATTTTTATCAAAAGAATTTTCCATCATACATTTAAAATTTGAACGAAATCGGTTAATAAATACGATTTTTATAAATAATTCTACTCCAGCACCACCTAGCGAGTTTTCTAGTAGCATGTAATTGGACCACATATGTATGTAAGATAACCTCCGACAATCTGACGGAACTCTATTCAGTGTTGTTTGAGTTTATTCCGAACAACGAAAACGGCTATCATTTTTTGCAAATAGGTATGTAGAAAGGACAGTTTATAGCGAAACTCGTAAAAGCAAAGCTCCATTCTTTGTGAAAAATTTAAAAAAATTCTTCAAAATTTTCACATAAATTTTACCTTACTGAAAATCAAAGACAAAGTTACAATAGTTCAATGGGATTAAGAAATCTAGGAGAAAATGGTTCCCAATCGAATGATACTTGCGCATTTACGTAAATGTATATCGATCCAGCCTTTCCAATAATTACCACTTTTCGCCATAACTACGGCATTGATAACATATGTAGCTTTGTAAAATTTCAGAACGTTAGCGTGAGCAGTTCCAGAGATAAGCTATATAAGAAGTTCAGTTTGTATGGAAGGAAGGAGCCACGCCCCCTTTCCCAATGCATTTGGAATATATGCATCAGTGCTAAGTCTCAGTTCCCCAGCGTGATCGGTTTTAGAGATATATTGGTTTTTTACATTTTGGTCTGTCTAAGAACTTTAACTATACTAAATTTTTGGTCAGAATATTTATTTTCAACGTGATGCCAAATATGAACCAAGCAGTGTTGCCACTTGAGCAAATGTTTATGTACCAAAATGCCTACCAAATCAGTTTTCAAACTACCAAATATCTTTCCATCATCAAAACGAAATTTCTTGAATTTAAGGGTTTTTAGCTACGCAAATTAGCAGTAAAAATTAAAATCTTTCTCCCAAGATAGGCAATTTTTCGTTAAATTTCAACAGCAGAAACGAACAGAAACGACTACAGTTTTCGTTCATTTTCGTATCTGGAAAACGTTCGAATATGATGACGTAATTTGAAAGCAAAAACTGTATTTAAATTTTTCAAGTAGCAGTGCAGAATAGTGTGCTAGTATTTGTTAGCTTTCTGAAGGTGCCGTGTTCGATGCCGTCAGGTACTTCCTTAATTTATCTTTTTCCGAACTATGAAAAAGCAAGAAGGAAAGCGTATTGAACAAAAAATTTAACCAGAAAATTTTTAGAAAACAGAAAAAAACGCATCCGTTTCAAAACATATGTTTCTGCTATATATTTTCCTCCACTTTTTTTTCCTTTACGGATCCATTTCCGGTTTTTTTTGCTGGCTGTGAAGCGAACAAATAGTAGTGCTCAATTTGGTTGCATTTCCAAAACATTTTTGCCTAACAAAATGAAGCTACCAATTTTGGTCCAATTGGACCAAAACGGCAACGCTGGAACCAAGTCGATGCAGCCGTTTATTAGTTTAGGTAAATACATTCTAAAGCGAACTGTATGAAATTGTAAAACGTGACGTCTCAGATTTCTTAATTTTTTGGCAGTAACAACGAAAATTTTTTATTTTTTTTAGCAGAAAGCCTTCCACAGAAATTAAAAAAAAATTAAGTTTGAGGTTATATCAAGGCGAAATTTTGAGAACGGTCCGTTGCTAACTCTAAATATAAACAACGACGCACTGGAAAAAGTTAATACGTTCAAATACCTAGGAATAATGATCGACTATAAACTAAAACAAAAAAAATGGATTCTATATTTTCAATTAGAGCTCTAGCAGTATGTACATCGGTGAAAACTGCATTTAATTCCATACATTAGCTTTTGCGTGATGCGCTTACAAACATACAGACAAACATACCGAAATTTTAGATTTTGCCTCTGTTGATCTAATAAACCACCTATTAATTTTTCTTTAACATCTATTATGTACAGATATCGGCCTGTTGCAATTCTATTATTCTAAAATACTCTCGTTTGAAACCCATATGGCAACACTTAGTTTATATTATAAATTTAACTGAACTAAAGTTTTCAAATAAGTGGCAACCCGCTTCAAGAATATTTTCAAAAGTAAGCTTCCTAATCCTCTTTAGTTTAATATTCGTATTGCAATATTTCATTTATTTTACAAATTTTAATGAATAGAATTCTTCGATCAGTTGGCAAATCCCCTAAAAATATTTTCAGCATTAAAATTTCCTAGCTTCTTTAGTTTGATGCCAATAATGCAATATTTAATTTATGCTATCAATTAAATTAAATTAAAGTTTTCAAATAGGTGGCAACCTTCCACGAAAATATTTTCAGCTGTAAGCCTTTGTAAATTTCTTTCCTTTGATAGCCATATTGCAGTATTCACTTTACCGTATCAATGCTCCGATACATCGGTGAAAACTGCATTCAATTCCATGTTCTGCTGATGCGCGTACAAATATACAGACAGACAGTGATTCAAAAATTCAAAAAATTTTTTATTTGGCTTCTGTAGCTTTAATAAAAACCCACCATATTAATTTTTCTTTAATATGTATAAGGTACAGACATCGACCTGTTACAATTTTATTATATGTATAGATGTAGATATAGATTTCATTTATTTTATCAATTTAATACAATACAAATTTTTCAAACAGGTGGCAACCCTCCGTAAAAATGTTTTCGGCAGTATAATTTCCTAAACCCTTTCAGTTTGATACCCATATTGCAATATTCAATTTATCCTGTAAATTAAATTAAATGTACATCTTCAAACAGGTGGCAACTCTAAAAAAAATATTTTTGGCTGTAAGTCTTCTTCAGCCTCTTTTTGTTGACGCCCATATTGCAATATTCATTTTTTCTTATCAATTTACTTAAACTCCAATTTTCAAACAGGTGGCAACTCTCTATTTTTTTTCTTCCTATATTTTAAGTTAGACCTCTAGCAATACACCGGTGAAAACTGAATTCAAATCCATGCATTCGTTTTGGAGTGATGCGCGAACAAACATACAGACAGACAGACAAACAAAAATTCTAAAAAT